ATGCTCGCTCTTTCTGAGTCTTTCAGGTGCCTCCAGACGCCCCTCACTTTTGCTGCGACTGTGCTTGTGCCCCATCCACACCTGCCCCAGCATCCTACACCAGACGTTTCACACAGCGGACTCGCTGTACCACTGTATTCTTGCCCCTGGGTTGCAGCCCTCAGCCATCCAGTTCACAGAGCAGTGCCTCTGCCTCTGCACAGCACCCTGTCACTCATCCTTACCTGTTGCCTTGTTTTATTCAAGATTTACTTTGAATAATTGTATCTATGTTTCATTACTTTGTGTTTTGCTTTCCATACATTTTCTTTCTCCAAAAACGTTGTTGTTGTGTTTGACACCTTTGTATTTTGTCTTATTCTTTTAAAAATAATTTTATTGGGGGCTCTTAGGCTCTTATAGCATTCCATACATCAATTGTTACAAGCATATTTATACATATGTTGCCATCACCATTTCTAAACATTTACTTTCTATTTGAGCCCTTGCTATCAGCTCCTCTTTTTTCCCTCCCTCCCCACTCCCGCCCTCATGACCCCTTGATAACTTATAAATTATATTTTGTTTTAAAAAGGTATATTGCTGAATGGTTTTCATTCATTCATTAAATGCACTAGGTGGTGGGGATACAAAATCAAGATAAGCTATTGCCCTTGAAACTCATAAACAAGTAGAGCTAGAGAGAAACATTATTATATAAGACCATATCTGTATGAAGTTCTTCAATGCAGGTGTTAAAGAAGAATGGGCATGGCAGTCCACAGGGTGGCCTTAGGTGTATTTCTTTAACCTTTCTGTTCTGTGACTTGGTTTCTTCACCTGTAAAATGGGAAGAATAGATTCACTGTAGCTCAGTAAAGCAATTTAGTAGAAAAACGGGACTTTTACCAGGTTGTTGGGATACTTAGGACCTTTTGAGTTGGGACCTATTCAATGAAAATGCCTGGCACCTGGTAATGTTGGCTATAAGGTTTCAGCTTATCATCTCTGCTTGGGCCTCATAGTGGAAGTGACATTTGAAGTGGCCATTGAAGGACAGAGGGAATAGTATAAGAACAGATCAAGAGAATGAAAGGATGTGATGTTTCCAGAAATGGAGGAATCACCAGGATGGTTAGAGGACAGGATATATATGGGAAAAGGCTGAAAGGTGAAATTGGAGAAGTGAAACCCAGATGGTGAATGATACTGTTTGTTGTTGAAGTTTGAACTCCATCCCATAGGTGCAGTGGAACCATCAGAAGTCTTTAAAGAGGGGCTTTTCACAGTCTAAACCGCTTTATAAGCATCCAGGGATGATGGATGAGATGGGAGGATGTTGAGCACTATTGAGAAGGAGGAGGCTGTGAAAAACTCCTGGAGAGAGAAGATGAGAACAAGAACAGAAGTGAGGGGGTTTCCAGGGGTGGAGTAACAGGGCATGGTGCTAGGAAAGTGGGCATGGTGGGGGGTGTGTGTGTGTGTGTACTATCTAGCTAGACTGTCACGGTGGTTGTAGATGCCACTCATTGACAGAATAGCAGGAGAATTTTTACTTCCTAAAGATTTCACCCAAGGCAGGAAGCCTGTTTCTAGTTGATCCTCGATGCCATTATTCTAAAACTTCTAAGTCCATTCTATTAGGTAGGAGTCTCCTCTCTTGAGCCTTATGAACAGTCTGCTATTCCAGACAAATAATTATTAATCTTGGGCAATTCGAGTAGAAGGTGACTGTGTGTATTTCACTCCCTGCCATCTCCTGAGGTGGAGAGAGGTGAAAGTCACCTGTTTGTTTTACCTTTATTTGCCAGAGTGTATGGATTTGACACGTGAGCCTCCCTGTTGTGACAGCTAGTGTCTATTTTGTTCCCCATTCCCAACCCTGTAGAAACCATGTTAAATTAAAGAGTTTAATTCCAGTTTTTCCCTTTCTTAGCCTATTAACTATAAATGTACTGAGATTTTTAACCGAAACATGGAATTTTTAGTCTATCCTAGCTGTTGGGTTTGAAAACAGGACCTGCCCTTTCCACTTTTGCAGTCTCTCTCGTCTTGGAGTGACCTGGTTCTAGTTCTAGGATTCCACAGCTCAACAGATATATGGGGGCCTCTACTGGTGACATGGTTTGACTGGTCATGAACCTGTCCTTGCTTAGTTATATTTATGAGTGCCCTGGATATGGGACATTATGTCTGACACTAATCAATGTGGCAAGATTGCCCAACTCCATAGAAGTCTGTCTTTGGTTTTTAAATCCGACATCCAACTTTTTCTGCCTTCTTTCCACTTTCTATCACCAAGTAATTGGATTGTTTCTAGCTACTGAGATTCTTTGGTTTGAAGGGTGGAACGCTCAAACTTCTTTTTCTCACTAGTCTCTTCTCTGAAATAGCCACACTTGTAACCCTCTCTCTTCCAAGTGGTTTTTAAATGTTTCAAGTATATAGGCCACTTTGGTGAGCAAAGATCCTATGAACCTTCTCCTCTGTTGGTCTCTGGGGCTGGTTTCTGGGAGAGGTAAAACTCCTTGATGACTAGACTTTGTCTCATATACTTTTGACATGTGATGAGGAGGGATAAGTCCCTGAAGAAGGATACCATGCTTGGTAATAGAGAGGGTAAGACCCTCAAGGAGATGGGTGGACCCCGGGGGCTGCAGCAATGGACTGAAAATGGGGAAGATTGTGACGTTGACTTTAGAACCTGTTGTATCTCTGGTTACTGTGAGTCAGAACTGACTCGGTGGCACCTAACAACAACAACAGCAACAATGAGACTCCTTGAACTAAATAGAATGACTAATTCCTCCTCTTCTAAAATGCCATTGAGAGGATGTTTGCTATTTTCAGTAGGCAGTTGACCCCAAACGTGTGAGAGTGACCATGGATATTATCATTTTAAAAGGCATTATTATTATAAGATACCAGCTTTAGGCCATCACTGCATTTCTTGGCCACTCTATGGACCCCCTGAATAAACCAGAATCCTCTAGCTTGGTTTTAGGGTACCTTATCGTAATTCATCTTAAAGGAAATGATATTTTTTAAAAGAAGGGTTTTTTCCTTACTGTTAAAAAACAGAGCATGTCCTTTACAGAAAGTTTAGAAAATACAAGAAAGCAAATTTGAAAGATCACCTGTAAGTCCACCACCCCACAAATACTGACCACTGTGAATTTGTGGTGCTTTATCTTTGAAGCTTTTTTTTTTTTAAGTGTTTTTTTTAAAGGGATCAATAGTGTCTATCACTCTTATTCATTGAATAGGGTGTTAGAAGCAGCTCTCCGTGTCATTGAAAATTCTTTGGTAAAGTTATGTTTAATGATTCCATACTGGGCCATTTTAAGTTGGGAATGGGAATTTTATTAATGAAAATGAAGAAGCTGTAATTTTTGTTATTTAATCACATGGCCTGATGATAGTACATAAAGAAGGGATGATGTAAAAATAGAGATAGGGTGTTGCAACAGCCAAGGGATAATACATTTTACAATTCTCACCACCATAAGCAATACTTGTCAGCATCATAAATTGGTATGTTAAATAGGACATAGATGTTAACAGATTTGGTTCTTTTTTTT